GTTTCGTTCTTGTTGCCCAGGCTAGAGTGCAATGGCAGGATATTGGCTCACTTGCAACCTCTGCCTCACTGCAACCTCTGCCTGCTGGATTCAAGTAGTTCTTCTGCCTCAGCCTCCCAAGTAGCTGGGATTACAGGCACTGGCACCACGCCCAGCTAATTTTTGTATTTTTAGTAGAGACGAAGTTTCACCATATTGGCCAGGCTGGCCTCAAATTCCTGGTCTCAGGTGATCCTCCCATCTTGGCCTGCCAAATTGCTGGGATTACAGGTGTGAGCCACCATGCCTGGCCTCTTGTTTGTTATTCTAAGCTAATATTTACTAGGGACTTACTATAACAGTAACTATTTTAACTATCTTACATGTATTTAATCTTCAAATAAATTGAGGTAGGAACTGTTATCTTCATTTTAAAGGTGAGACAAACAAAGCCTAGGTGGGTCAGCAGCTTGCCCAAGGTTACACAGCTAGTAAGTGGTAGAGTTTAGCATTTGAACCCAGTTAGTCAGACTTCAAAGTCTGAGCTCTTCTATCTGATGCAAACACATCTTAAAACAAAATACACCCTTTACACAAGTCAGAGAAAAATCTCTCTACTAGATCTCAGTTTACTTTATCTTGGTGGGAGACACTAGTCAGTTTACCTTATATGATAGATGATATTTAATAACAACCGTAGCAAACATATGTTGAACCACCCCTAGTCATGCTGCCAAGTGCTGTAAAATATATTAATTTAATCATTAAGACCATTATATGAGGTAGTTATTATTATTGATCACTTTTCTATAGATTTAGAAACTAAAGCTTAGAGAAATAAGATATTTTGTCCAACAGTTATAGCCAGGAAGTAGTAAGAGGCAGATTTGTCAGCTAGCCTGACTGAAGAGCCCAAGTTTTTAACCAACCATTAAGCTGTTCTAGCTCCCCAGACTTGGGGAATGTGTACTGTACATAAACAAAAATTCTCAGTCTAACTCTGTTACAATTCATAGGAATCTTCTTTCCAGCATATCATGTGAATGTAGAAGAGGTACTGATATGAATCATGAAAATCTATTCTAGATTTGCAGATAGCTCTAGTTCCCCTGGGCCCCCTTTCTGGCTTAAAATCCTACCTTAACAGAAAATTTTTGTCCTATGATCAAAATATACTTCAAAAACACTGTTCTTGTGGCAGATAACCCTACTTAATCTCAAATCATCAGTGATTTTATTATTTCTAATAATTAAATAATAAGTAAAAGTGACTACTTGTCAATGTGGAAAATACAACTACAATTTGGAAAGTAAAATCACCAAAAAGTCTCACATTCACAAGATGTCAACTGTTACTTTACAAATTTATATATGTACCCATATATTTGTATATTTGCTGTCATATTACATGTTTGGTTTGTAGCCTGCTTTTTATCTTCTGTAAGTATTCTCTAATATTATTTAAACTCCTTTGAAAATATTTTTAAGCTTACATAAAATTGTTTTAAGGATGTATCATGGCCTTTTAAACATTTTCCTGATGTTGGATGTTTAGATTGTTTATAATTTATCAGTTATAAAAGTGCTATAATTATTGTTCACAAATTTTTGTCTCAATTTTTGATGATTATCTTTGAATAGATTCTAGCAGTAGACTGTTTTTAGGATCTTAGGAAGTGTGGACTTTGTAACATTTTAATGACATACATTCCTGGTTCTTTTGAACAGTTACTTACTCTTTTTATGTCAGGGTCATTAATTTTCATTGGAAGGAGACTCTGGCATTTTGTTTTTTTATAAGAAATATATGAATATTCTCTCATTTTAAAAGGGGAATAGGGTGATACTAAGGTCACACCTTCAATTTTTACTCTAGGCATTTCCATATTATCCGGTTTATCTGCTTTTACCATCCACTTTTGGTATATATACTTCCAGGCCTTTATCTACGTATTTGTATATATGTGTGTGGGTGTGTCAGATAAATACACGGATATATGTATACAAAAAGATATGTATGTGTATATGTGCATGTATACATATTTGTGAATGTATGTACATATTTATGAACACACATAGACATATAGCTGGACCATCAGCCTACGTCTGGTCCTTAAATAGTCTTTCCACATCTCGTCGTGTCCATTTGCAGTTCATTCTTTATTCTATAGCCAAAATACTCTTTTTTTTTTTTTTTTTGATTTTGAGACCGAGTCTCACTCTGTCACTCAGGTTGGACTGCAGTAATGCGATCTCAGCTCACTGCAACCTCCGCCTGCTGAATTCAAGCGATTCACCTGCCTCCTCAGCTCCCCAAATAGCTGGGATTACAGGTGTGTGCCACCACATCTGGCTAATTTTTGTATTTTTAGTAGAGACGGGGTTTCACCATGTTGGCCAGGCTGGGCTCAAACTTCTAACCTCAGGTGATCCGCCCACCTTGGCCTCCCAAAGTGTTGGGATTACAGCTGTGAGCCACCATGCCCTGCCAGGCAAAATAGTCTTTTAAAAAACACAGGTTTCATCATAACATTTACCACTGTATTGCTGATAACTTATAATTGCTATAAGTCTATTAAGTTAAAAATTCTTAACATTACTGACAATGCTCTGTATGATGTGGCTCCAGCTTACTTCTGATGTTTTCCCAGGTACTCATTATACTTCAGATGGATCATAGTTTACTTCAGTCTTTCTGTCACTTTCTTTACTGTGATAAGCTTTTCCATCTCAGTTTGTTATACCTGTTCCTAGAATGCTCTTTTTCTTTCTGTTTATTTTATTATTTTTTATTTTAATTAGAGTAGTTAAGGACAACTCTTCTGGCTTTTTTTTTCCCCACCCATTATTTTATCCAGTCAGTGTTTTTCAGCGTATCTTTTTGCTCCCCTAACAATTATTCTTTTCCATGTAAATTAAAAAAATATTTTGTTTTAAATTTTTTAAAAGGGGCCGGGCACAATGGCTTATGCCTGTAATCCCAGCACCTTGGCAGGCCAAGGCAGGCAGATCACTTGAGTTCAGGAGTTCGAGACCAGCCTGGCCAATTGGTGAAACCCCATCTCTACTAAAAATAGAAAAATTAGCTGAGTGTGGTGGTGCGTGCCTGTAATCCCAGATACTTGGGAGGCTGAGGCAGGTGGAGGTGGCAGTGAGCTAAGATCACGTCATTGCACTCTAGTCTGGGCGATAGAGTGAGACTCTGTCTCAAAAAAAAAAAAATTTTTAAGGCAATTCTTTTTTTTTTTTTTTTGCGATGGGGTCTCACTCTGTCACCCAAGCTAGAGTGCAGTGCAGTGGTGCTGTCTTGGCTCACTGCAGTCTCTACCTCCTGGGCTCAAGTGATCCTCTGCCTCAGCCTCCTGAGGGACAGGGGAGTGCCACTATGTCTGGCTAATTTTTGTATTTTTGGTAGAGATGATGCTTTGTTGTGTTGCCCTGGCTAGTCTTGAACTCCTGGGCTCAAGTGATCCTCTCGCCAAAGTGCTGGGATTACAGGCATGAGCCACCACACCCAGCCTTTGTTCACCTTAGTGGAAATATTATTTTATCAGAGATGTCTTCTTAACCCCGACGATGTTAGGAATCCCCCTTGAAATGCTTTTATTAGCCCCTCATACTACAACTGTATTTACAGGCATCTTTTCCGGGCCATTTATTTAATAATTTATTGAGCACCTAACATATTGCCAAGCACTAGTTTAGAAGCTGATTATAAAGTAGAAAATATAATAATAAATTAAGACCTATGTTTTATAGGTCTTTAGGTTTTCTTACCTGATTTTTCTATTAATTCATTTTCATGGCATTTTTAAAAAGTATTGATCTGTGATGGCTACAAAATGTTTTAAAAATTGTTTTTTACCACAGATAATTTGAGAAATATTGAATTATAGCACATTCATTGTTTGCTAACTAATCACAATCTAATTTTTCTTGGTCCATTTTTTTAAAGGAGGCAGTGCTTGAGAAGAGTTGAAAGGATAGTCCATTTTTGTTAAATAAGCTTGCAATGTTATATCATGTGCAAAACTGACTTTAATTTATGAATTTACTTTTCTATTATTTTAGGAAATAAAAAGAACTCAACTACAAATTACCAGAGCACAGCAGAAAGTGTGAATGCCAGTGCAAACTTACAGAATTATGGTGAAACTTCTCCAGATGCCATCAGTACAAATTCAGAGGGTGCTCAAGAAAATCATGATGACCTGGTAGTAATCATTTGAGAGAGATTCTATGAAGAAAAGTGCCACCAACTTTATTTCATATTTGATATGTACATATTTTGAGACACTCATATAAAATGAATTCTTAGATGGTGGGCAATTCATTTTGCTCCTTTTATTCTTGAAAACACTTCCCTCCTAATCAATTGTTTTTCCTTTGATTTTATTTTTCTAAGTTTGTTTTATTCATTTTGAGGAGTGGAGGCTCTTTCTTTTTTCTGTCTTGCATTTTATGTTTTTTATTTTTATTTTTTTAGAGACAGGATCTCACTCTGTTGCCCAGGCTGGAGTGCAGAGCTGTGTCCATAGCTCACTGCAACTCTGAACTCCTGGGCTTAAGTGATCTTCCTGCCTTAACCTCCCAAGTAGCTGGGACTGTAGGCACACACCACCCCACCTGGCTGTTTTAAATTTTTTTGTAGATATGAGGAGGTCTCACTGTGTTGCCCAAGCTAGTGGTTTCTCTTAAGCCCTCTTGGTGCGGTGAAATATTCTTATGGAAGACTTGAAAAAGATATTATGTCTAACTTTTAATGGAAATCATTTTGCAATCCTTGTGACCTAATTTTTTTTTTAATAAATGAAAGAAAAGGTTTTCACTATAACGTAACAACCATGTTCTGTAGGTCACAAGTATATTTTTGGTCTGGAAGTTCACAAGTATATTTTTAGAGGGTGATGGTAGTTTTCCTATATTATTTCTTAAATTTTGTTTTGAACTGCCTGGCGTACTAATATCATTTATGCAATCATTAATAGATGTCCGTTGTGGTGTTTAAAATTACTGGTGTTAATGGGGAAATTGACATCCGAGGGGAAGATACAGAAATTTGTCTTCAAGTGAACCAGGTGACACCAGACCAGTTAGGCAATATCAGTCTGCGGCATTACCTTTGTAATCGTCCAGTTGGTAAGATTTTTTTTTTAATTACTTTTCATATACAGTGGTTTAATATGTTTTAATTTTTTTCTTTTACATATGTCTCATCAGAAGTCCTATCTTGACTATAATTGAATTCAAGGAAAATTACATTTATTTATAATAATAATAATTACTATTTGTAGTTTGTGGTTGTTTTTTCTATAGTATGTGGAGCTTCAATAGGAAGACATGGCATAATAATTCCATGGCATAAGGGGTAGTAGGGAGGAATGATTTTGACTAAGAAAGTTTTTGTTTTGTTTTATTTTGTCTCCAAAAAAACTATTTTTGTTTGAAATTATTTCTGGCTTTACTCTGTGGAATTAGAATGTGTGTGTGTGTAGATCTAGGTAGATAAAAAGGCAAAATAAAATCACATTATCCAGTTTATTTGTTGGCAAGTTCTCTTGTTCAGCAAGTTCACTCTTGTTTTTCTTGACATGGGAAAGAACACTAACCATTACCAATTTGTGACCATTTATTTTACCTTCTATTTTAAAAAATAAAAATATGTGAATTTTGAAATAATTAAATAATTCTTTGGAGTTACATTTGAACTCTTGTATTATTTTCTGGAATGTTAATAAGTAGTATTAACAGTAAGTATAATTCTGTACCTGGAATGGAAGTTTTAAGAGCAACTCTCCACCTGGAATTGTGAATGGAGACCTAGCCTTGGTATAAATAAATACACACATCTTTAGTTTCTTGCAACTCTCCCCCTTTCACAAATATGCATATATTTGACCTGTTTAGTCACATCCATGCTAAAGAAAAATAAAATACCTTTTCATTATGAATTTTAAAAAATCTATCATGAATTGATACAGCAGTCTTCTTATGGGGACCCATGGGATAAATAACTTTCATATCTCAGAAACTGAAACGTCTTTGCCTTTCCAGAATGAGTTTGTTTTTATCTTATGGGTTATATGAGTTGTGAAACTGATCATATTTTTATCTTTTTTGCTAGGGAGCTCATTTTTGGTCCACCTTTTGGTATAGGAATTTAAATAATGGTAGTTGGTAAGGTTAATTTTGGGTTATTAACCTTACCAACTACCATTCCCTTTTCCCTTCCATCCTTTTTTCCTTGTCTCCTCATTTTTTTATCAGATTATACCATGTACATATTGCCTCTTACACATTTTGGAACCAAGTAACATAAAATAAATAAGCAAAATAGTTACCGTGAGTTCACAAGTAATTTACTTCAGTGATTTCACTAGGAATTTGTATTTTTTAAGTTAGATATCCTACTGGAGCTTCATTGGAATTTTAAAATTTGTTTTTAAACTGTGTGTTTATACTCTCTACGCCATCTGTAAATTTTTTGGGGGGACAGGGTCCAGGCATAAGTAAATGTAGTTTTACATACCCACACGTACACACACACTTTTCCCTTATTATATCCGTTTTTGGTTTGCCTTCTAATAGAAACAATTTAATGAGGTTTTCTCTGTTTATTTTTCTGTTATTTAAGGCCCCAGTTTTATGAGGAAACTGCAAAACCTCAGGCTTTTGTTGCTTCTTGAGAAATGGCGTAAGAGTCACCTTAAATATCTAACTTATTTCTGCATCACAGCCACCATTTGAATGTATAGTTAGGTATACAATCAAACAGACACTAAGTATCTGAGGTATGTATCACACCAGAGTTATATCATGACATGTTTTTCTTGATAACATGTTTTTCTTGTTATCAAAAAAAACAGGAAATATAGAAAAATCAATGTTATTGTAGGAGAAAGTTGCCTTAAAATATTGGAATTAGTGGGTGTATGTATATTGTATATGTACTATAGAATATCATTTAAACTAGGGGTTTAATTTAAACTAGGGGTAAATAGTAAAACTAGTATTATTTTAATGTACTACATGACACATAATAGTAATATTATTGAACAGTGCTACAAACATTTTTATATGTTCATCTTCCATAGGTTCCGATCAGAAAGCTGTAATTCATTCCAAATCCTCTCCTGAGATTTCTCTGAGGTTTGAAAGTGGGCCTGGTGCTGTAATACACTCTTTACTTGCAGAAAAAAATGGATTTCTGCAGTGCCACATAGAAAACTTCAGCACTGAGTTTCTTACATCTTCCCTTTTGAATATTCAACATTTTTTGGAAGATGAAACTGTTGCAACAGTAATGCCAATGAAGATACAAGTTTCTAACACAAAAATAAATTTAAAAGTATGTTAATAAATAATTTTATATTGTTATGTTTCTTTTGCCTACCTGGACTTTCATTCATGTCTAAGAATATGCCTTCTCTATAATTTATGTTCTATCAGGATTTATTAAAACGATTTTGTTTGTCTTTTTTGGTAAATGACGTAGAGATCTTTTTTGGAAATTTCAAAATATAACAGGTAGTTTTCTCACTGTATCAGTTGAAACATATAAAGATACATGTTTTATCTTTAACTCATTAAAAATATGACTGGCTAGAGTAACATGGCAATGTTCTTTTTCTTTCCTGTAGGATGACACTCCCCGGAGTAGTACAGTATCCCTTGAACCAACTCCTGTAACTATACATATTGATCATCTTGTGGTAGAGAGAAATGATGATGGGTCTTTTCATATTAGAGGTATATATGAGAAACCATTTATTTATTTATTTGTTTTTTGTTTGTTTCTTTGTTTGCTTGTTTGTTTGACAGAGTTTTGGCTCTTGTCACCCAGGCTGGAGTGCAATGGGGTGCAATCTCGGCTCACTGCAACCTTCGCATCCCTGGTTCAAGAGATTCTCTTGCCTCAGCCCCCTGAGTAGCTGGGATTACAGGTGCCCATCACCACACCCAGTTAATTTTTGTATTTTTAGTAGAGACAGGGTTTCACCATGTTGGCCAGGCTGGTCTCAAACTCCTGATCTCAGGTGATCCACCTGCCTCAGCCTCCCAAAGTGCTGGGATTACAGGCGTGAGCCACCATACCCAGCCAATGAAAAACCATTTAAATGAACACCTTAAATTTTGAAGTTAAATTATTTACATACTGATTGTTTCTTTTTACTCATTTATTTTATATGTATGTACATATGCAGTAGTGGAAGATTGCGGGACACCTTCAGTACATTGTAATAAAATATTATCTATATATGTACAGGCCTCTACCCTGGGAAGAAACCTCATATATGGTTGGCTTAGTACCTGTTGTACACACATGTTTGGAATGTTGTAGAAAGTGAGAGAGGCCTTCGAGCTCTTACACGTCTCTTGATCTTACTCATGTCTCTCAGTTGATATCTTTCTTAGCTTTATTTACTATTTATACTCCTTATAATGGAACTTACCTTGCACTTCTCCATCTCTGTTCTTACTTGCCTTGTTATTTCTCTTTGGAATTGCTCATCGCTATGTGGATTTCATTCATCCTCTCAATGTTGTCTCAAGTTTCTTCTTTATACTCTGATGTATAGTGACGCTTTCTTTATACTCTGATGTGAGTTCTTCCACTTCTTTTGGACTTTTCTGTGCATTAGTTACTTATAGTGTATTGTCTATATGCTTAGTTTACATTCAATGTTTGTATCTCCACTCTAGTAAGGTCTGTGTCTTACAAGGTGGTATGAGGTAGTAGAAAGAGTGTGAGCCAGTAGACTTAGATGTTTTGGGCTTCACTATTATAGCTAATTGAAGGACTGATATATACATCTCTTTCATCTCCTATCAAAAACCTCATTAAATGACAGAAAACATACACTGAAGAATAAAGTCATTAACAGTGCTACAAAAGAAAGGAGAGGACAGTTGCAGATGTGGGAACAGTTTGTGGGAGACTCTTGAAGAGTCTTTTCCTCTGTAGTTTGAGAGCATCTGGAGTCAGACATAGGAGAAAGGCCAACAGAGATCAAAATTGTAGCTTCGTTACTGATAAAAGCTCAGGTGGAGAGAATAGCTTAGGTATCTGAGAAGACGGGCTTGCTGCATAGCTCTCTTTCCCAAATGTGTTAGCTCCCAGAAATTCAGGTCTGTCTTCTAAAAAGAAAAAGAAAAGAATGCACCCTCTCAGCAGGAGGTACAGCATATACCAAAGCAAGAGACTGAACCACATATATATATATATATATATATATATATATATATATATATATATAGTTCTTGAAAAAAAAAAAAATCATCAATCAGATAAGTCATACCTTCTTCCCGGGGAAGCAGTGAGAAACAGGACCAAGAGAATTCAAGAGGACTACACGATTGAAGTTCCTCCTTAAAAATAGGAAGAATCTCCCCAACAAGATACTGAGGTTAGAATGAGCCCTGAGGCAATAGCATGAATAATATAGGCATTGCTTTTTTGGGATCCTCTCCTGTGCCCCTGCCCAGTAGTAGACTTCAGTAGATTTTGCATATAAAGTAAAATATTGAGGGTAGTTTCTGCAGCTGCTAAGCCTCCAGGAAGGGAATGATTCCCTATCCAATTAACAGACTTGGCTTATCTCACCCAGTTGAGCAGCCTTTCCTTTCCCACCATCACTAGAGATTGGCTATAGCAAATGGAAACAGTGTTTATAGACAAGAAAATGGGATAAACATAAACAAGAAAATAGGAAAATACAAGACATGCAGTAATTCTCAAACATTTGAAAATAATAATACTAATCAACTTTTATAATTATAAGCTAGAAATATTTTTTAGCTGACGGAGTATAAAAGGAGCTTAGTGAAAGGTAATTGGAATGAATTGAATTGAGTGTCCAGAGATAAACTCTTAACGTTAATTGATCTTTGACAAGGCTGGCAAAACAATTCAATGGGGAAAAGAATACCCTTTCCACCAGTGGTGATGGAATCACCAGATATCCACATGAAGAAGGCTGAACTTCTTCCTTATATAGGCATACTTTACATATACTGCAGATCGGGTTCCAGACCGGCACAATGAAGTGAGTATCACAATACAGCAAGTCACACAAAGTTTTCAGTTTACCAGTGCATATGAAAGTCATATTTACACTATTGTGACTAAAAAATGTACATAGCTTATTTTAAAAATCCTTGATTGCTGCTCAGGCACAGTGGCTCACACCTGTAATCCAGCACTTTGGGAGGCTGAGGTGGGTGGATTACCTAAGGTCGGGAGTTCAAGACCAGCCTGGCCAACATGGCAAAACCCCTGTCTACAAAAAATACAAAAAGTAACTGGGTGTGGTGGCACACATCTGTAATCTCAGCTACTTGGGAGGCTGAAGCAGGAGAATTGCTAGAACCTGGCCGGCGGATGTTAGAGTGAGCCGAGATCGCGCAACTGCATTCCAGCCAGGACAACAGAGCAAGAATCCGTCTCAAAAACAAATCAAACAAAAAAACAAAAAAAAAATCACTTGACTGCTAAAAACTGCTAATGATTATCCGAACCTTCAGTGAGTCGTAATCTTTTTGCTTGTGGAGGGTCTTGATGGCTGCTGATTGATGACAGTCATGGTTGCTGAAGGTTGGGGTAGCCATGGCAATTTCTTAAACCAACAGTGTTCAATTTATCTGTTTTCTTTTGTTGCCTGTGCCTTGGCAGTCCTATATAGGAATCCATGGCCAAATCTGAGATCATAGTATTTTCTCGTGTTTTATTTGAAGAATTTTATAGAATTAGCGATTCAATGTAGCTCTTTACAGCAAATATATCAATTTTTGTTTTTGATATGTGGGTAAGGATTAAAGACACGTGGATTTATTTCTGAATTCTCAATTCTGTTCCACTTGTCTGTCTTTGATACTACCACACTGTCTTGATTACCAGCTTGCTTTGGAGTTAGTTTTAAAATTGGAAGATGTGAGTCATCCAACTCTGTTGTACCTTTTCAATACTTTTTTTACTCTTTTGGGTCCTTTGCAATTCCATATGAATTTTAACATCAGCGTGATAATTTCTACAAAGCAGCCAGCTCAACTTCTGATAGGGATTGTGTTAAAGCTGTAGATAAGTTTGAGGATTATTGCCATCTTAACAACATTAAGTCTTCCAATCTATGAACAGTGGGATATTTAGATCATATATTTAGATCATCTTTTATTTCTCCCAACAATATTTTATAGTTTTCAAAGTATAGTAAGTTTTGTGCTTCTTTTGTTAAGTTTATTCATACTCTTTTTCACAGTATTTTAAATGGAATTGTTTTCTTTCATTTGCGGATTCTTCATTACACATTATAAAAATGTAATTATTTTTGTGTATTGATTTTATATCCTGCAACCTCACTGAACTTGATTAGTCCCAGTAGTTTTTTAGTTGTTTCCTTATTTTTTTTTCTACATGCAAGATTATGTCTAATAGAGATAATTTTACTTTTTCCTTTCCAATCTGAATGTCTTTTATTGTTTTTCTTGCCCAGTTGCACTGGTTAGAACCTCTAAGACAATGTTGAATAGAAGTGACAATAATAGCCTTGTCTGGTTTCTGATTTTGGCAACAGGAAAAGAGTCTAGTCTTTCACCATTAAGTATGATATTAGATGTGGGATGTTTATACATTGATGACCTTTTATTAGATTGAGGAAGTTCCCTTCTATTTCTAATTTACTGAGTGTTTTTACCCTGAAAAGATACTAGATTTTATCAAATTCTTTTTCTGCATCTATTGAAATGATCATGTGGGTTTTGCCTTTTATTCTGTTGATATGATGTATTACATTAGTTAATTTTTGGATGATAGATATATTTGCATGCCTGGGACAAATCCCAGTTGACCCTGCTTTATAGTTATGTATGTTGCTGGATTCAGTTTGCTAACATTTTGTTAACAATTATGTCCATATTCATCAGCATATTGGTCTTAGTTTTCTTGTGATTTTTTTTTTTTTTTTTTTTTTTTTTTTTTTTTTTTTTTTTTTTTTTTTTTTTTTGGTCTAGACTTGATATCAGGGTGATAGTGCCTTCATAGAAAGTTTGGGAATGTTCGGATTTTTGGAAGAGCTTTTAAAGATTTAATATTATTCTTTAAATGTTTGATAGAATTCAGCAGTAGAGCCACCTGGGCCTGGGCTTTTCTTTGTGGGTAATTTTATGATTATTGATTCAGTCTCTCCCAGCTTAGTCTGTTGACATTGTCTTCTTGAGTCTATTTGGGTAGTTTATCTCTTTCTAAGAATTTGTCTACTTCATCTAAGTTACATAATTGTTGTTGTTGTTGAGACAGTCTTGCTTTGTCACCTAGGCTGGAGTGCAGTGGTGTGATCTTGGCTCATTACAGCCTCCGCCTCCAGGTTCAAGTGATTCTCCTGCCTCAGCCTCCCAAGTAGCTGGGGCTACAGGCGCATACCACCATGCCTGGCTAATTTTTGTATTTTTAGTAGAGACAGGGTTTCACTGTTGGCCAGGCTGGTCTCGAACACTCCTGACCTCAGGTGATCTGCCTCTCTCGTCTCGGCCTCCCAAAGTGCTGGGATTATAGGTGTGAGCCACCATGCCTAGCCTTAAGTTACATAATTATTTTTTAATTTTAATTTTTACTTTTTACAGAGACAGGTCTTGCTGCATTGTCCAGGCTGGTCTCCATCTCCTGGCCTCAGGCAATTCTCCCAGCTAGGCCTTCCAAAGTTCTGGGATTATAGGAGTGAGCCACTGTGTCTGCCCTAAGTTATCTAATTATTGCCATACTGTTGTTTATAGTGTCCTTTATAGTATTTTTTTTTTTTTTTAATCTCTGTAAGGTTAGTAGAATGTCACTTCTTTCATTTCTGATTCTAGTAATTTCTTTTTCTTGGTCAGTCTAACTAAAGGTTTATTTATTAGTTAATCATAAGCCTTTAAATCTGTTAAATCTAACAAACCTTTAGTGTAAACATAATAAATTATGTAATTATGTAACTTAGATGAAATTGACAAATACTTAGAAAGAATTCTTACAAAGGAAAGTTTATTTAGTTGATCTAAATAAACTATTTATTTAGATCTTTTAGCTTCATTGATCTTTTAGTTTATTTAGATCCTTTCATTTTATTGATCTTTTCAGAGAATGAGCTTTTGGTTTTATTGGTTTTTTATGTCATACTGCTACCCTCATACTAATATATATGGATATTTATTTTTAAATTAGATTCTCACAATTGAACTTTTAAAGATTTGTCAAGTATTTGGAAATGTTATCTGAGCATGTTATTTGTTTAATCAGATTCTCACATTCTTAATACTGGAAGTGATGTGAAAGAAAATGTCAAAAGCGATTCAGTGCCGCTGACGAGTGGAAGGTATGATCTGAAGAAACAGTGCAGTGTCACTGAAGCCACTCAGACAAGTCCTTGGCCTTCTCAGTCAGCTAACTTTCCTGAGTGCTCCTCTGACTTTACTAGGGAACAGGTAATGGGAAACCTAATTCAGATTCAGTTTCAGCAATTAAATAATTAAGTATTAAGATACTAATAGTGTAATCATTGTTATTTAAATAAAAAGTACCGAGTGCTTGTTCTTGTGCCCAGGTGCTGTGTGAGGTGCTATGGCTATAGTGTTGAGCAACATAAATAAAAATTTAGTGCCTTCTGCCTTCCTCCAGTGCTGTCTTAGTATTTTTGTGATTTTTCCTCGTAGATTCTTTTTTATTTAAGAAATAATTAATATTCAAGTGTACATACTATATAATTTTACTTGTTTAACAAATTTTTTTCATATTGCTATATTTGTTTAACATTTATTTTTAATGGCTGAGTAATATGGTTTTAGGTGTGCTGTCATTTCTGAAACTTCCTCTAAACATTTATTAACATTCATGTTGCTTCTGAGTTTCGGTTTTGTTTTGTTTTGTTGTTTTTGCCATTATAAAGAAACAGAATGTTCAGCAGAGTTTTAATCTGTATGATAAAACCATAGGATGAGTTAATTCATTTGTTCAGTGAGGATTTACTCAGTGCCAACTCTGAGCTAGGGATATAGAATGGAATAGTATATGACCCCTAACTATTGAAGAACTCAAAGTCTAGTGGAAGAAGAGTGTTCAATTGATAGTCACAATGTACTGTGTGAGATGCTATACTACAGATGATGGAAAGTATAGGAAACTACCTCACTTGGTCTATAAGGCAAGAATTCTTAAGCTAGAACTAGAAGAAGTTTGAGAACTATTTGAAATTAACTGCATATATTTTAATGTATCTGTGTAATGCATATTTTATCATTTCCCCATACTTAGGAATGGCTATGTTTGCTCTAATATATTTGCTCTAATATAGCCATTCCTAGTTATGAGGGAATGGCTCTAAGAGGATAAAATAATTGCTAAGTCTTAAATGGGTGGCAGAGAACTATTGGCCATCTAGATGAAAATGTCTGATGACATGTTCAGAATTTGAATCTGGAGCTCAAGAGAGAGGTTTGTGCTAGGTGAGTCTATTTATGATAGTTGGAGCCATGGAAGTAGATAAGATCATCCAAGAAAGTGACTCATGACAAGAGAAGAAGACCCAGCAATGGAACTAACAGAATGTCAAATTTTAAGACTTTTTAACAAGTAGAAGAAAAGATGAAAAGGGCATACGTAGATTAAAAGGGATAAATATGAAACAGTTGTGGCATAAAAGCCAAAAAAGGAGAGAGGCTGAGAAAGTAGGGGTAGTTCAGCAATGTGTAAAGCCATAGAGAGGTCTGGGAAAATTCATGTGAAACAAAGTCACTATTAGACTTGGAAATTAGGAGTTAGTGTTTCGTATAACTAGGTCGAAGCATGGGAACATATTTTAAGTCTTGATGTATGTTTCCAAATATTGTCTCAAAGCAATTTTCAGCTTAAATGCACCCTCACCAGCATTGGACATTTTTACTATCCCAAGTGTCATGCCTTTGGATACTATGTAAATAGTCTATATTTCCTGAAATGATTAAATTATCTTATCCCTACCCCTACCATTTATCATTTCAGCTCATGGAAGAGAATGAATTTCTTAAACAGGAACTGGCTAAAGCTAAAATGGCTCTTGCAGAGGCTCATTTGGAAAAAGATGCGCTTCTTCATCATATAAAGAAGATGACAGTTGAATAACGGGAGTGGCAGTCAAAACTCAAATTATAGCTCTGGAGTAGGAAGGTTATATTTATAATCTGGATGTTACCAGTTAGGGGAAGACTTTCCTTTTCATGAAAAGACGATAAAACAAAATGGAATGTGATAAAGTGGTGACTATTCCAAAGCCAGTTTAGAAGATATTAGGTACGAGCATTACAATCTTTTGGTTGTTCTGTGTTTAGGGGCTTAACCCTCTTTTAAACTGGTGTGATCTAGGGAAGTCCACACATACTGTAAAATAATTACATGCCTAAGGAAAAGAAGATGTCATTTCCTAATTTTGATATCTCACTGTAGGCATTTTTTTTAAATGAAAAAGGAAAACCTCTTGTGTTCACACAGATTGCTGAATTGATTTCTCAATATTTGTTAATAGTTTACTATTATTTACACAGATTCAAATGCTTTTATGGCTAATGTAAAATGAAAAGAGGCTTACATTTTAAATGTTATTAAAATTATGTACTTAAATCTATAATTAATTACTGTTAAAAGCCCAATCAGATTAATAAATTATATAATTGTTGAGTTTGAAAACTCTGGAAAATCATCACCCTACTGAACTTTTAAATATCTTGAAAATGTGAAAAAAAATCACTTCAAATAATGGGTACATTGTATAAGTGGAAGCTATAATTTTCAACAAAAAGATGGTACAAATGTAAAAATAAAAAGCACAAACTGTACAAGCAAAATACTAGAGTATATGGCCAAGTGATTTAAAAAGCATTACTTGTACATTCCTTTAAACATTTACTGTTAGAAGTAAAAGAGTAATTTATCCTGCTAACTTTAGCAGCATTTGTAAGTATAAAAATTTTGATTAGTACTATTTATATTAATTTCTTTACCTTCATTTTTCCTCTTTAAGAAGTTGTTTTTGGAAAATTATTTTTCGTTGCACATAAGACAATTTTATACCATTCTTATAGTATCTTATTAGGTGGGTGTTTGCACATACTGAATTTATAAAGCTAGTTTTGAATAAAGCTCTATGTGAGAGATATATATACACATACACAGTCTTCTAAATAAGAGTCGTTGGTGAATTTTGAATTCTATTTTGTTAGGAATTAAGGTTGAAATCAACATGAAAGAATCTCAATCATGCATTATAAAATAAAAGTACATAGGTGATAAGAAACAGAGACTTTTAGAGATTTAAAATATATTTCTGATAGAATTAAACTAAGTGGTGTCTATTTTAAAATTCACATTCTTAAATATATCCAAGATAGAAGATGAAATAGCTGGACTACTCTTTCTTTAAGATACTTGAAAATTTTAAACCACATTGTGACACTTTATGGTGCTTTGCGTGTTTGGCATGACATACATAGTGGTCCTTATATCTAAGTGCTTGGGGGGAAAATACATATTTCATTTACATTAAATTTTGGAGTGATTTAGGCTTTATTGAAAACAGTACTGGCCTTTTTTCTTCCCTTCTCCAGGATCCATTTTCATTGACATTATTTAAAATATACAGGCACTGTTTTGGGTACTATGGATAGAGCCAAGAACAAATTGATAATGTTTTACCTCGGGTTATTTAAAATATTATAATAAGTCATGTTATTCTAAAACTATATAATAGCTTTAGATTAAATGTGCAAAGGTCTAATTAAAGATTTAAAATGTATACCTTATGTCCTTAGAAGAGAACATTTTATTTTTAGTTATACATTCAGCAAAAACAGTTTATTATGGAAAAGAAGGGTTGATGGGACATTAACTTCTTCAGAGCTAACATTGTTTCTCAAGATTGACCTATTCTATATAAATTTAAATTTTTCTGTGGTATATTGTACTTGCTTATTGTTATAGAAGCTGAATGCCTTACTTACTACTTTTAAATTTATTTGGTCTTCCCAAGGAAATCATACAAACGGAGATTATGATGATCTGAGCATTCTATGTGCTTATTTTGATTTTTTTTTTAATTTATAAGGAGAACTATTTTTATAGATGTTTACAATTCATTAAACACTCTATTCTGAGAGGGAGGTATTATTCAAATGTTAGAAGTTTCCCTAAGCCTTAGAAAGGACAAGTAACTTGACTGAAATCACAATTAGTAATGTGGTCTTTGGACTTAAAGCCTAGTTATATGCTTTTATTATAGCATAGTCATTAATTCATACATTTTCACTTATCTTTTTTATCTTTTAAAGATGACCGTAGAACTTTAGATTGTGTGTGCACATCTATGTAGGAGGTATATGTTACCCTGTTTGTGTTATTCAAACTGCCTAAAAGACAGAAGGATGATTTTTGTTTAAGTTAACCCCAAACTATTTAGCAGTGTGAGAAATACAGGAAAAACCTGATAATTGACTTACCAGCATTCGTTTTTTTAAAAATTACATAATTTAGATATAAAGTTGTCATGTCCTGGAATTTAAAAAAAAAGAAATCTCTAGCTGAGACATGTTAACGGTTAGGAGATGAAAATGGTAATTGTGCTTTGCTTTTTATTTTTTGTAGTTTTTTTGTTTTCTATATTTTTAAGTAAAAATTATATATTTATGGTGTACAACATGATGTCTTGATACATGTATACATTGTGGAATGGCGAAATCAAGCTGTTTATTGTATTACCTCACATATTTTTTTGTAGCAAGAACACTTAACATTTTGTAACAGTTTTCAAGTATACAACATATTGTCATTAACTGTAGTCACCTGATGTAAGTAGATCTCTTGAACTTTTGTTTACTAACTGCAGTTTTGTGTCCTTTTACAGACATCTCCTGTTTCCCCAACCCCCAGCCTCTGATAACCAGAATTTTACTCTCTGTCCCATGAAGTTAACTTTTTTTGCATTCCATTAAGTGAGATCATGTAGCATTTGGCATTTGTCTTTCTGTGCCTGGCTTATTTCACTTAACACAGTGGTTCCCCATGTAGCTGGGACCACAGGGGTGTGCCACCATACCCAAATTTGTCCATGTTGTCAGAAATGACAGAATTTCCATTTTTTAAATGTTGAGTAGTATTCTCTTGTGCATATTTTCTACATTTGCTTTATCCATCATCCATTGATGCACAGTTAAATTGATTCCGTATCTTTGCTATTGTGAGTAATGCTGCAATGAACATGGGATTGCAGATGTCTTTTCCACATACTGATTTCATTTCTTTTGAACATAAATAGTGGGATTGGTGGATCATATGGTAGTTCTATTTTTTTAATGTTTTGAGGACCCTCCGTACTGTTTTCCATAATGGCTATAATAATTTACATTGCCAATAGCGTACAAAGCTTTTATTTTCTCTGCATCCTCTCCAACCCTCCTCTTTTGTCTTTTTGATAATAGTCATTCTAACAGGTCTGATTACAATAGCTTTGTAGTAGGCTTTCTGTGCTTTGCTTTTTAATTTCATGTATGTGAAAAACATTGGGTATTTTGAATTTTTTTCTTTTCTCACCTTATCCTAGAACTCGAGGCAGGGCACAGTGGCTCATGCATGTAATCTCAGCACTTTGGGAGGCCAAGATAGGCAGATCACTTGAGGTCAGGAGTTCGAGACCAGCCTGGCCAACATGGTGAAACCCCATTTCTACTAAAAATACAAAAATTAGCTGAGTGCGATAGCGCATGCCTGTAATCCGAGCCAATCGGGAGGCTGAGGCAGGAGAATCACTTGAATCTGGGAGGCAGAGGTTGCAGTGAGCTGAGATTGTGCCACTGCACTCCAGCCTGGGTGACCAAGTGAGACTCCGTCTCAAAAAAAAAAACTTGAAAATTCTCCCATATATGCTAGTTGGGGGTGAAGCATTATTTCTAGTTAAGTCATGTAAGAATGACTGTGTATGACCAAAGGCAAATATGTATGGAAAAAATTAAATTTTTTCGTGGGTTTTTATTTAATAGATGCCAGTAGGGGAGTTAGGAGTTATACTTTAACAAGTTTGTGTTAACCTACAGTCTAATCAAGACACCTTCTTATCCCAGTGAATGCCACCACCATTCACCCTAGTTCCCAAACTGGTAACATAGAAATCATCTTAAGACATCTTGCTCTCCTTATCACTTCATCATCAAGTCCTGTCATTTTCACCTTGTAAACATCTCTCAAATTTGTCTACTTCACTTCTCACCACTCCCTAATCTAAGCTACCATCAGCACCTTTTGTCTGTATGACTGCAGTTGTCTCCTAACCAGTCTTCCTGCAGCGACTCTGGCCCTCCCTGTATTCACTCTACTACAGGCAGAATTCTTTTTGTTCAAAGTGCAATTTTAATCAAGAAAACCCACCTACCCCCACTTGTACCTCTAGCTTAAAACACTTCAGTGGCTTTTTATTGTCCTTAACGATGAAAATGAAATATTTTATGTGACCTCATAGGTCAAATATATTGGGGCCACTATCTAGAGTGTATTTCCAAGCATCAAAATAATTGCTGTCTCAGTGGCTGGCGCATCACCTAAAAAACCCTCAACAGGGGTTACCTATTCTTGTTCCCATTTAGCCTCATTATGTACCAGGTTTTACTTACTGACACCTTCATTGTCCTTTAAGTATTTGGAATGAGAATTACAGTGCTTCATTCAGCCTAAGACTTTTGTCATGCTGTTTCTTTGACTTGAAATATCTATCCCTTCCCATTGCGTAATTAATTTCTGTTTGTCTTTCAGATCTTAGCTAGTTCATCACTTCCTCAGGGAAGCATTCCTAATTTCTGTCACAGAGTAAGACCCACTGTTATACATCTCACCTGACCATGTACCTCTACTTAGCATTTAACTTGTGTAATTTTTTATGTATTGCTTTGATTAATGTCAGAACCACTAGATTGTAAACTCTATGAGGACAGGAAATTTTTTTGTGTCATTTTCATTGTTCAGCTTTGTATTTTTTATGCCTCATACAGTGCCTGGCACATAGTAGGTGCTCAGTAACTTTATTGAAAGAATAAAATGAATGGATGAGGTATCAAGGATGTTTTTCAGATATTGAATTCTTCCTTTCAGTTGGATTGAAGGGAGATGGAACACAGAAAAGTAGTTGCTCATAGTTATTAAAAGGGGGCAAACTTCTAGAATCCAAAGGGGATAAAAAGATGGGAGAGTGAAGTGGGAATATTTACCATACTGTGGGCTTCTGGATTTTGAATATGTGAACTTGTAGTTGATTTATCACAAAACAAAATTAGCGTATCACTTCATGGTACTACAATGCCAGAATGTCATCTAGCTTTGATTGTAACATATGATGTGGCTGTTGAGATCTGCCATTATTCTCAGCTAAACAGATGGAAATAAGTCCAAAAGAGTGGTGGCTAAAGTAGTTTCTCTTTGGGAAGTTAACTAATACTCAGAATTAATTTCAGTTATGCCTAGTTCCTTAAGGTACAAACAATCCCCTTTTAGTCTAAACTTTGAAGTGCTATAGAAAGTAAATTTTGAGCTATGTTTCAGTTTTCCTTTTATATATAAAATACCAAAAGTTAGAGTTACACAGTATATAGAAACACTAAAGAAGTAATGTTTTTAAAATGCAATTTTTACTAAATTCTAATACTTGATACTCTTTTTGTTTTTGAGACAGGGGCTTGCTCTGTCACCCAGGCTGGAATGTAGTGGCACAATCATAACTCACTGTAGCTTCCAGCTCCCGACTCAAGCAATCCTTCCCCATTAGCCTTCCGTGTAACTGGGACTGCAGGTGTGTGCCACCACACCCAGCTATTTTTTCTCTTAAGAGATGGGGTCTCCCTCTATTGCCCAGGCTAGTCTTGAACTCCTGCCTCCCAAAATGGTAAGATTTCAGGCATGAAACGCCATGCCCAGCCAATAATTTTTTTTTTTTTTTTTGAGACTTGA